AAATGCTCGAATGAAAATTACACAAACTGTAGAGAAGGGTGTAATCATAATATAATATAAGCCTAGCGGCTCAAAGGCTATATTCAATATTAAAGGTTTTGATAGAATGAGAAAACTTAAATATAGGCTAACTAATTAGTGGTGCTAGTTTACAGTTCCTAGATTAAGTCGCTAGTACATCTAGATCTAACATTAATGTTAGATCTGTTATTTCCATCTTTTTAGTTTTAGGTTTGCATCTAGATGTAATTATAATGACAGAAATTTAACTTTAAACATCTAAACTGGATCTTAGATTTGAGTGCATAGATTGAAAGCACCTTGTATTGAATCTACCCAGATCTAGATATAACCCTGCCTCATCAATTCTAGATTTAGATTTATTAGGCCTAACTTTTAGAACAAATGTTACATCTAGATCTATTAACTTAGTAATTTACTTCTGTACGTCATTTCAGTCTCACTGTACTTCAATGGGCAGCTTTTAAAAGTTAAAACCGCAAGCGTAATACACACAAATAACGTAACACTGTGTCGTATTTACTTAACGTAGGGCAGTTGCGCTGTATCCTAGGGGAGGGCATAATTATTAATTAATAGGCTTTATAGGCCAGAGGAAATTTTGCGTCCCATCACACCTGCGCCTGGGTGCGACTGCCCCCTCTTGCTACGTCACTGTGTCCATAGACTAATCAGTTAAATAATACTGACCAAGCACTCACATCCGAGAAAACAACCGTACTGACGATTAATAATTTAATAAAATGTACTGATAACATGTAAAATTTAATGTGTCGTCACGAGAAACAGTTTGTTTCAGTTTAACAAATAGTTCCGATGATCGCTTTAGCTCTTTTTCACTGTTTCACAAAAACAAGAACAAAAAAGAGGATTTATCAAGTGAAGACGAATCATTTTTGGGTATCAAAAAATAATACGATGTTTAAGACCTATCACTTCTAATACTATAAGTTGACATTAAGATAATAAACAGGAGACAAAAGCTCGCTGTAAATTATTAAATAACCTCTGTTAAATTATACTGTTTAACTTTATCCACTCAGCAACATGTAAGTGACTGGTATAGCCTACTAAGCACTGTTTAACTTTATCCACTCAGCAACATGTAACTGACTGGTATAGCCTACTAAGCACTATTTAACTTTATCCACTCAGCAACACGTAACAGACTGGTATAGCCTACTAAGCACTGTTTAACCTTATCCACTCAGCAACAGGTAACTGACTAGTATAGCCT